GAAATCCTTACATTTACCTCTGGGAAATAGTGTTAGGCATCTATAAACAAAATTTCAGCCCAATCGGACAAACTTTAAGGGGGATCGTAATGTGCCAGGATGCGAACCTCTGGAAAACCAGAGTTTTTCGGAAAATCCCTCAAAAAGTTATTTAAAATTTTTGTTTTCCTCGAACACGTATCTCTTTATTTTTAGTGCTAAAAATTTCAGCTTGATCGGTTGTACCATCTTCGAGAACTAGCAAGTGTCAAAAAAGAGGGGGAGGGGTACCCTTAATACAAATTTAATAACGAAGTAAATCCTTACTTCGACGATTCGACTATATTTAAAGTTTTTCAATCATCTGCCTGTTTCTTTTCTGTATAGAAAATTTTTTCTTTTTGTTTAAAAAAATCAAATTTAAACCGTTAAATAATTGTTAATTAAGAATAGATTTATTTAATTATTATCTTTTTTCTACAATAGATATATAAGCATAAACTAGACATTTGTAAAGTCAAAATGTACAGAGAAAAGAAAAAAAAAAGAAGACAAATCAAATTGATTGATGAAGAATTTGTTTTTCTTGTTTGTTTTTTTACATACGAAATCGTCTAAAAACATACATAAACATTAAAGAGAAAAAATTAATTAATTAATTAATATTGACTTACTTAGGTGGAACAGCTGGAGCTTGACGAGACGAAGGTGATTGTGTCGGTGCCTAGCAAAAAAGAAATGGATAATTAACAATTTTTATTTTGAAAATTCAATTAAATTACTTCTTGAAGAATACGTTCTTCACTTTGACATCGTTTACGTGCAGATAATGGATTTTGATAAACATTTCTAATATATCAATTGATTCAAAAAAAATATTTATTTTGACAAAGAAAATATTTTTTTTTTACTCATTTGTTGGAGTATTTGTATTTGTTACTGCCATTGATCGAATAATATTTAATTTATCATCATGTTGTCGTTCAATTTCACGCATTTGTATTTCTTTAGTTTTTAATTCATTAAGCTAAAAAAAAAAACAATAAATTTAATTGTCTTTTTGATTTAATATAAAATAAATCATTTACATATTGTTGTTCAAGTTCATTAATTTTTATTTTTAATTTATTATCAAAATCAATTTTATCTTTTCGTCGTTCAACTTTTAATGTTTTTATTTCATTATTTCGATCTTCAATTTTTGATTTTAATGTTTTATTTTCACGTTCCATTTGATTTGTTGTTTTATAAAAATCATTTTGAGATTTTTCTAATAATTTAATACGTGTTTGTAAATGACGAATTGTTTTATTTTGTTGTTCATTTTCTTTAATTAATTCATCATAATCAGATATAGTTGAATCATAATCTGATGTTAATTCAAGTGTAAATTTATGTAAATAATCATGTTGTTCATGAATTAACTACAAATAATATCAGATTAACAAAAAAAAAAAAATGAAATATATTTTTGAAAGCAATTAATTTTTACCATATTAAGACGATGTCGTTCATCGATACGTCGTCGGAGATGTTCTTCAAGATTTAACATAGTTTCATCAGCACTAATTCCATCCAATAGAGAATATTCAAGTGATGGAAATGGAGCAATTAAAGCTTGCGCACTAAATAGAAAGAATTATTTGTTAATATGATTTATCATTTTATAAGAAATATTAATAGAAAACAGCAAGGTTAACTTTTTTTTTCTCGATGTCAGTCTTAGAAGTTCAACTTCCGAACTTTTCTACAAAAGTTCATTATAAATTTTACCATTAAATAGAAAAGATTAGGACGAGAACAAATTAACTAGTTCAAGATAAGATCTTTTTTGGTATAACTTAAATGTATTATATGTTATCAATAGATAAATCTATTATTTAAACTCTGAAATAGGGGTGGCACTTTAACTTTAAACTTTAAAAGTTAAAGTGGTTAAAGTTAAAGTAAAACACTTTAACTTTAAAGTTAAAGTTAAAGTATTCTACTTCAAACTTTAAAGTTAAAGTTAAAGGAAGTTTACTTTAATGTTTAACTTTAAAAAATTTAAAGTTAAAGTAGATTTTTTCGCAATAAATATTTTTTCGTAAAAAGAACTATTTTCTTGTAAAAAATTATTTTTTTCATAAAAATTTATTTTTTCATAAAAAAATTATTTTTTCATAAAAAAATTACTTTCTTGCTAAAAAATGATTTTTTTCATAAAAAAATAACTTTTTCGTAAAAATAGTTTTTTTGTAAAAAACTCATTTTATTTTATAAAAAAATTTGCTTCTGGCAAAAAATTACTTTTTTATGAAAAAACAACTTTTTTAGAAAAAAAAATTTTTTAGCAAAAAAATAATTTTTTGCGGAAAAATCTACTTTAACTTTAAATTTTTTAAAGTTAAAGTAACCATACTTTAAACTTTAAAGTTAAAGTGCCACCCCTACTCTGAAACACGCACTTCGGGTCCGCCTGGACCTTATCTCTTTCAATATGCAATATAACTCACTTGAATTCAGTAAAGAGAAATGGTATTGATTGTTGTTGATTATCGATTTCACATAAAACAGCATGACTACGAATTACTTTAGGTGGAACAGGAGGTGGCGGTGGAGGAGGTAAAGCACGTGGTACCATAACATCTTTAGTTAATTCACCAAATTTAAGTGCATGCTATAAATATTTAATATTTAAAAACATAGATTAATAAAAATGAAAATTTACTTGAATTTCTTCATATCCATCAGCAGTTGGATTAACACAAAGAATCATTCGTATACGACCTTCACCATCAAAATAACTCTTAAAAAATGATGTTAATTTTGATTCACGATATGGTACCATCTATAAAATTAATTAACATATATATATATATATGAAACAAATAAATTTAATTACCTTGCTTGTACCTTGTGCTTGATTTTCTCGTAAAACTTCAAAACATTGTCGAAGAACCATTAATGATGAATTAATATTACCTTAAGTATATATTCAAATCGAAATCAAAAGAAAAAATTTTAAGAAAATTTTCTTACTCGCTTCTTTTACACGTTCACCAACAGTTTTTGCTCGATTAACACGTTCACTACCAGCTAAATCAACCAAATGAATTGTACTTATTATAAGATCATCTTTTGTCTATTAGATTAAAAAAAAAATATTTAAAACAAAAAAAAAATCTGAAAAAACATACAAGTGATGTCAGTGGAATATTATTATGAAATTGAACAAGACGCATAGAAAGAACACTATGTGATCGACTTGATTCAGTATTTAATTGTGTATGTGCAATACGACGACGTTTTAAACCCATATTTAATAATTCAATAGCTTCTTCACTTGAACGTACTTCAATTTCTTTAACATCTCTTATATAAGGTCGTCCACGATTATCTTCACGTAATTGTTTTGATTGTGGTGCTCTATTAAAATTTATTCTTGTTATTTCTTTTTCATAACAAAAATTCTTACTTATTGAGAATATCATCATCAAATAAATCATATATATAATTATTATAAATTTCAACAAATGTAACAAAAATAAAATATGAACAATTTTCATTTAATTGTGCATTCCATATTGATGTCATATCTAATGTACGAGTATTTGTTGGTTCAGAAATTCTACAAAAAATACAAATTTAAATTTCAGAAAATTAATTAATAAAGTTTTTTTTTTTTTTTCTTTCCTATCCATCTGAAAAAAAGGAAGTTCATATATAATATTATAGGATTTATTTCTTAACAGATAATATTTCAACTGTTTCTCATTCAATAGATCATTAAAGATTGTTTAATGGTTTAAGAAAACAAGATAAACTAACTTTGTACGTTGATTATTATTATTAATTTTTATTATTGGAATTTCTTTTCGTTGTCGTTCAAGTAAAATTTCAGTTTCACTTTGAATTTCATAACCATTTTGACGATCAGAACGAAGAAGCTAGAAAAGAAAATTTAATTCAAAAATACAAAAAAATATCAAATAAAACAACAAACATATTTCTTTCCAAGATATGGACCAATTGAATTAAAAATCACATCAAATGAACGTGGAATTAAACCTGGATTATTTAATGGTCCCATCATTGTATAAGTTTTTCCAGAACCTGTTATACCATATGTAAACAATACACCTAAATTTTTGTTTTTTGATATAAAATAGATTTAAGTTAACAAAAAAAACAAGAAACACATACTGTTTTTTCCTTGAATAAGATCATCAAGAAAAGGTATGGCCAATTCTTTAAATGCAGCTGATTGTGAAACATCATCCGTAAGAATATGAGTAAATTGATAATGAGACTAAATAAATAAATTTTGAATAGAAAAATAAAATAAATCATAACAAATATTTACTTCTCGAATTTGACCATTTTTAGCATTCTAGGATAAATAAATAACAATTGATGATAAATATTGAATAACTTACCTCAGATGAGTAAAGAGTAAGTTCTGTTGAACTTAAAATTTTAATAGACGAAGAATTATCTATTTCCTGATCGTTATTATTATCTTTAGGTGGCCGCAAACGACAGAAGACCTTGAAAAACAAAATAAAAGAAGAAAAAAGAAAAAGAACAATAACTTACTTCAACTGGACAACCACCACCATTAGCTAGTAAATCTCGTGAACCAAACTGTGTCTTTTTCATCGGAGTTCGTAAAGCCATTTTAAAAATCAAAATACTTTACATAGACAAAAACAAAATTTTCAAACACTGAAACATAGAATTACCAATTGATTGGTCAATTCATACAAAAGACTAAACGCCATTTATATATCATAATAACCCTCTATTATACTTATCTTAATTTCAACAATTAATTAAGAAAAACTATTTCCAAAATAATCATAATAATAAATTTAGATTATTTAACAATCAATTAATTAATTAATTTTATTAAATGACAGATGTCGCACAAAACAAAAAAAAAGTTCACATACGAAAATAACATTCATTTGACTATCATCGCTACATGTTTACTCTACGATAAAAAAAAGCTGCACAGCGGCATAAAAAGTATGAAAAAATTAAGTTGTAATTGTTGGTGATTCAAGTCCATGTTCCCAATAGAATAATGTAATTTTTTTCAATACAGATGACATACTTAAAGAATGTTCGAGCATTTCTTTGAGTACCTTAAATAATAAATATATTGCATTGTACAAGCTAAGATTAAAAAAAAAAGAATAATCACTTGTTGTTCAAAGAGAGTTTCTAAAGCATCATTTGAATTGATGGCAAGTGAACGAACAAATTCTACACCATTAGGTACTGCACGAAGAGCAAACTAAAACATATATATATAATCAATTTAATATCATTAAGATACTATTGTATTTACTGAAAAAACACTTCTAGCCAACATTCCATGATACTTTCTTAATGATTGTTCATATGCTTTGCTTATAGCATCTGCTAAAGTTTTATCACCTATACCAAATTCATATAGAAAACTTGATATAAATTCAAAAGTTCTAAATACAAAAAACTAAACTTCAAATATTTTTCAATAGAAAAAAAAGAAAATAATACAATACCGTTTTAACCAAAGTAAAGCATCTGTTGCTGAATTTCTTACATTTGTTGTTTGTGCTTCGATTTCATCGTTAAGAATTGAATGTAATGTTTGAAATTTTATTACATTTTCATTCATTTTCTGTCGTAATTTCTTGAATTTACGAAAACAAAAATCAATAAATAAAAATGTAACAATATTGATGATAAACTTACATTAATATTACCATTAACATCTGCTTTCAATGGAGCAAATATAGGACTATTAAATTTATCTTAAAAAGTTTGAGAAAAAAAAAATGCTTGTATCGCGATATATTAAAATATTATAAAACTTACCCACAAGTGAAAAATATTCTTCACAAGTTTTTAAAAAAAGTTCTAATTGAAATTCTTCGAATGGTAATACATCGAATATTGAAAACCTAAAGAATATTAAAGAGTAAAAATTTCATTAAACAAATAGAATAAAGCAAACTTATGTAAAAGTTGAGAAAAAAATGTTTGATAAACTATTTCATTTGATATATTATTATTTCTAAAGTATAATTTTAAGATTAATTTCATTAAAATAATTATTATCATCTTACATATCAGATATATGTAATTCATAAGAATCAGATTCAATTTCTGATTCTGATGTTGATATTAATCTGTCATCAGTATGAATTGTTGTAATAGGAGAATTAGGCAAACCGAAATATAGAAGAAATGTATTATATTGATTGTTTTTTAATTTAATATAATCATCCGATAATGGAAGAAATAAATTATAAGTATAATCAAGCATTAATCGTGTTGTATTCATTATTATTTATCATATAATACTGAAGAATGAATATCTGAAGAAAAATGCAATTTTCATAAAAAACCAAAAAAAATTGAATATTTAATCTTTGCTTTTTTCTTGTTACGTAATTGGTTTGTACATCATGCCTTGATTTATTTCATAAAATAATGAATGATGTCAATAATCAAGGCCAATATGAAGAAACTTATTCACAAGCCATATGTATTTTGATCATCCGATCGATTTTGGTATTAGTTATAGTTACACTTGACGATGTTGTGAAAGATATGGCGTCATATTTTTATGTATACATTGATTAGATAACTGTTGATGGTGAAATAAAATGATCGTTGAATATAACAATTTTTATTGCATAGAGAAGTGGTCCGATGACAGCAAGTATAAAATAACCATATATTAATTTCTTCTCTTTTTGTTTTTATCATGCAAATATTCTCTCATTCTCAACGCGTACAGAACGAAAGAACAACGTCCAAAGTAAAATGTCCACTCATAGTATAAAGGTGAAAAATAAAAGATTTCCTAGTTTAAAATTCTTTTTTCTTTTTATTATATAACTATTCACGCTTCATGAATATGATCTAAACTGAACGACATTTTTGTTTCAACATAGTCATAGAAGAGTGTAGGTAAATTACTTTCATATCACGATAGTATGTCATTCATTATTTTTACTGCATAAATTTTGTAAGACTTCATCATCTATAATTGATTATATAACTGATAAAATGATTGACGGAATTTATTATAATGTAGAAGATTTTGTTGATAGAATTAACATACGATATACTCATTTCGTACGGAATATTGGCATCAATAAAATAATTATAGTGAAACTGTTCATCACAAATTTAAGAATTTTTCGTCTTGAAACAATTCCTCTATGTCATCAACAAATGAAATAACTATTTCAAAGAGTAATAAAGAAGAAAGATTTCTTTTGTTATATTATAATGAGAATAGAAGCGTGGCATATGTTTTATGAGTAACTTGAAGAAAAAAAACCAATCGATATATGTTGTATAAAAAGAAATGTTTGCGAATGAGACTATTTCGTACTGTAAATTTCTAGAAAAAAGAGGAGATTCATTTCGTTGGTGATTTTCTAAGTGTAGTTAAAAAGTTTTTCAATTCTATTTTATTGATGTCTTTATCAATATCTGCGAAACCAATCGATGTAAAAATCATTGAATAATCTTGACAAATAATTAAACTATTTGCAATAATTTATCGAAAACTTCTATTATTTTATTGAAGATAGCTGTCTCTCAAAAGAACAGCAAATGAAAGAAGACATTCTTCAATAGAACATTCAGTGTAGATTAGCTTTCTAGTATATTTTGCTCGTATCTTTCGATTTTCATAGCTTTAACAATCAAGAGATTTTGAGTCTGAATACCTGCAATTGATTAATTTCTAGTTGTTATCAGAATTTCAGCTTTAAGACAAACTTGAAATTGATATAGAGAAACAATCGAAACTTTTGATTAATCAGCGAAAAAAATCTTTAAAAATTCCAATATTATTCGTTCAAAAGTTTTCTTATACTAAGACACCCGTTTCTCCATTAGTATCAATTCATCATTCATTATTTAATCACAATACGATCATCCAGTGAAATACCAGCTTTAGCATAAAAAATTGATGAATGTATATCATCAATAAAACATGTCGAAACAACTTCATCTTCAGTATAAACCAAAATATTTTTGAATGGACCATTTGTAGCTTCTTTAATTGCAACACAAATTTCTTCATATATAGACTAATTAACCCTTTACGGCCGGCTACCAGAAGATAGCAAACAAAAAATTCTCCTTCTATATATTCTTTGTCTCTTAGATGTGGAGGTTACCCAAATCCATCTTGGAGTTAAAAGAACTGATACTGAGCCGAATGCCAACATGTTGCCTTTTGGCAACAACCGGCCGCAAGGGTACAAAAAGTTGGAAAAAGTGAATTATTTTACCTCGATGGAAGTCCAATAATTTGCTGTTGGTTTTAGTCCAGATTGTCAAACAAAAGCATACTTTGTGTATCTGCCTACCTCTTACAGCCTCAATGTGCAATATGTTGCCAAAATACTCAAAAATTTTCTGAAATAGTGCAAATTTCACCTATTTTCCCTAGGGAAGCCCATGAATTTAGTAAGATTTTAACAAGACTAGTAATGTTTTATAGTAGTCTGAATAGGAATACTATGATATACTGTAAATCTTGTTAGAATCTCGCTGAATTTGTGAGCTTCTCTGGGGAAAATAGGTGAAATGTGCACTATCTCAGAAAGTTTTTGAGTATTATGGGAATATATCGCACATTGAGGCTGTAAGAGGTGGGCAGATAAACAAAGTATGCTTTTGTTTGATAATTTGGCCTAAAACTAACAGCAAATTATTAGACTTCCATCGAGGAAAAATAATTCAATATTCCCAACTTTTTGTATCCTTGCGGCCGGATGTTGCCAAAAGGCAACATTCTTGTACTCTATTCTTCGAGTAAACTGAATGATTCATCTTATTGATATAATAGATAATGGATCTGGAGAGGAAAATTAACCACTAGTTACTTCTCGCATCTAGTGCTCGCACAAATGGAAAACAGATCATTTCGACTCGGGGGGTGTTTCGGGTGTTGACGGGAGAATTCATCCCTCTCGTCAATAATAGCTTTCTCCTTTCTTGAAAAGGCATAGGTTTTCCCTAAAATGCATGTAATTAATTATCAAATCGCTTAAGAAACTATATCTCATCACTTTAAGATAAATCCTAAGATGATATTGGCAAAATATTGCTATTTGGCAACATCCGGCCGTAAAGGGTTAAATAAATTAATAAATTGAATCTAAAACAAAATATGACTTACACCTTTGCTTAATCGAGCAGTAAGATCAACAAATGAAATACAAAAACCCGTACCAGTTTATTTTCCATTCAAGTCAGGAATTACTTTTTCGATCTAATAAAACACAAATCAATTTTCTTATTTATTAAAAATAAAATAAATAAATATACAGCTTTACCAGCAATAGCAGCACCAATTGATATTGGAATAATATTTTGTGAATCTTCACGTCGTTGCAAATCCTATAGAAATAAAATTCTTTTTTTCTTGTTTTATTCAATACTTGATTTGATGGTTGATCAACAGTTTTTTGTATACGAGTGTACGAATGTACGGTTGTCATTAAAGCTTCAATAATACCAAATTTTTCATGAACAACTTTAGCAAGTAGTGCTCAACAATTTGTTGTACATGATGCAATTGAAAGAACTGTTTCTTTTCCTATATATTCATCTTCATTAACATCCATAACAAACATTGGAGCATCAGTTGATGGTTCTGCAATTATAACTTTTTTAGCACCAGCTTGTAAATATGATTGACATTTATCAATTATTGTATATACGCCGATTGTTTCAACATCTTAAGAAAAACAAGTATATCAATCAATTATTGATTTGTTAAGGTCAAAAGACAAAACATACCGAGTTCATCCCATGGAATGTTTGATGGTTGTTGTCTAAAAATAGAATATAATTAGATATTAAAATTAATTGATTTAAAATATTTACTCAACGAGGATGCTGATTTCTTGGCCTGCAACAATAAATTTGTTATCTTTATGTGAAACTTTACCTTTGAAATATTCATGTGTTGAATCATGTTTCAACATATTAACCATATGTTCAGCAGGAGGAATAAAAATTGATGGACTTGGATCTAGAAAGATATAATTGTAAGACATATAAATAAAAAAATCTAATACTAACCATTAACAGCAATTACTTGAATACTTTGTTCAAGTGCACATCGAAATACAAGCCGACCAAATCCATTGATACCAATTTTAATATTTGATATCATATGTGGACTAGTAGACAAATAAAAGATAAAAAAATATATTGACACAGTGAACTTGTACTTACAAACAATACAACAGATTATTTGATAACAATATCAATATTTCATTAAATTTTTGTTGTTCATCATGTGTAGCTATCAGAGAGCGAATCGAACCGACTTTTACTGGTTCGGGTTCGGTTCGATTCGACTTCACTTTTGAAAGAGCGGTTCGAGTTCGGATCGGTTCGTTTTCGCTGTCTGGTAGCTGCATCTAAAAATTCTTTAATCTCGTGCTCATTTTTTTTTCCATATGTATTGTACAGGTGAAGCGTATTTTAAGTTGATAGTCATTGTAACGATGTTAAAATTTTTACTATGTGATGTCCAAAATACACCAACATTTAATACATTAGTAATACAACAATAATTCAACAACAGAGATGGATAATCAATTAGATATTCAACTAGAGAAGCTAAAAATCAATGGAAAATTTTTTTTTTTAAGTAAGGATGTTTCAAAAATTCAATTTCACCAATTAAGAAACACTCATCTCAATCGTCATTTATATTATTCATTTCAGATGATTCACCTTCATTTTCACTTTCACTCGCATCACTTATTTCCATTGTTTCCCTATCATTTTTAGTTGAATATGGATTTTTATCAGCAATTGATGTTGGTTCACGATCAATACCAATTGTTTTCTCTTCTTGAAGACCATGTTGTACATCTCGATCTAATTCTGAACACGTTATTAATCGTTTTATTCTCAAGTTTGGGAATATTCTATAGATATGACAATTTATTGAATATTTATTTTTTATTTCGAAAGTCATAACCAAACAGTTAGTCCACAACCTCCTTCTTCAACAACAATTAGAGGTTTCATATGAGATGATAAGCGTAAAATACGAGTATGTAGTTCTTTAATAGATGCCCGGTAAATATCAAATATCGATTCCGAGAATGTCAAATCTTCATAATCTTCATCCTCTTCATCATTGTCATAATCTTCATCGTCAATAATAGGAACAGTAGGATCATTAGTAAGATTGACGAGAGCAGGATCAAACTTGATACAATGGTCAATAGAATCAGGTTTCGGCATTCCACTACTTCTTCGAAAACAAATACCGAAATGAACAGATATTGGTACTGTTTCTGCAATAATCTGACAACTAATATCATCAAGACCTGTATTCATGTCCTTCATAATGATATGTAATGAGGTGAGCATCGGTAAGGCTGAAAGTGAACGCAATATAGACCAATTGCTTGAGTCGAAATTTGGCTTATTAGCATGAAGTAGAATTTGAATAGAACGAATATTAGGTGGAAATGAAGAGAAGTTTTTCAATGCAATGAGATTATTTGTTAATGTAACATGACGAAGAGCAAGAAGATTTAAACCAGTTGGCCAATCATGAAATGATAAATGAACTGTGTTAATATGATCTAATTGCACAACATGAGGCATTGAAATAATCGATGGTAATGAGTCATTTTGTGATATACTAAGTGTACGAAGTCGAGATGAACTAATAATGGATGAGTACGATGAAGGTAAAGCAAATACTTCTACTTTAGTTATATATTGAATTGGTTCAACCACCTCGAAGAATTGTTCAAATGCCCATGGTAAAGTATACCAAACATCGTAAGCCCATGGATAATTATTGAACTAGAATAAAGAAAGATTATTACATTAATAGCTTGGAAAAAAAATCGAAAATTTAAATTTTGATCATTTCTTAATTTCTCATCAGGATGTTGTCAAATAAAAATTACGTGTAATAATACAATTACTCACATAGCAATTGATATTTGTCAATTCTTTGTACTTTCGGGATAAGAAACTTAGAACACAGGTTACACCAACTATTTGTCGTGGATGAAAATGACTACCATGTGGTACATGATGACTTAGTTGAATACCTAGAGAAGTATCATCTATAATGAAAACGAATTGAACATCGATTCGACGATCATCAATGAAAAGTGACGATCTATTGATACAATATAAATCATCGACAGTAATGAAAATAGCCAAATTCATTCGTCGAAGTACGGGCATTACATTTGGAGCTGTGAGTGATTCAATAGTTGACCATTCAATTCTATTATAGGAAAATATCGATTGAACCAAAGTGAATGTATGTAAATTGATCATTTTAGACAGTACCAATCCTTTAGGTAAACTATTTTCTCTTATCACATGTAGACTACGCATTGTTACATGCAATTGTTCTAATGTAGTTGAAAGTGTCTCTCTTGATATAACATGACACAAATGCGGTATGTCTTGCATCGATACACGAAGATAATTGAGAGGGCTTTGTATTGTAGTAATGTACCAGTTCGTGAGGCCGAGTCCAATATCTTGACCCAAATCGAGCGAACGAAGTGCACTCAAATGTGGCAAAACATTTTCCACAAGTGTTGAAAGACGTCCTCTAGGGTGCAAAATACAACCCGTAAAGCCTATCTAAAAAAAATAAAAATAATTAAACGAATTTATTAGTCAAGAAAAAAGAAATTTTTCGCATGAGAATATTGGAGAGAATTCATCAAATGGCATTTTTTGTCAATTCACGTTTTCATCTATAGAAGTAACTCATTGACGATTCATAATGTAATTGAACATTGCTAATATATACTATAACTTAAAATATAAAAAAGTTGAGATGAAGATACGATTGAACACTATATTCTATTTCATATCTATGACATTTGACTGTAATTATTTAGTTCTTTATTCTAATTAATGTAAAAAGAACTTGATGTCAGATATATGATAGTATGGAAATAAGATATTTTCAATGATTTTTTTTCACTTGAATATTAGTTTGAAAATATTCTTGGGTAATACATACTGACATAAATAAATCGCTTGTTTCCAATGTGAGATGTATGAGTGAAGTTGAGTGGCGAAGGATAAGATTGGTAGCATCTATAAAGTCACGCAAACCATATAATCGTAATGTAGTCAAATGAGGCAAATAAGGCCAGCGAGAAAGTTGAAAAGGTGATGCTTCGATGTCAATGATGAGTGTTTCAATTTGATTCAATGGAAGTATAGAAAGAAGTGTATCGAATTTTGACAGACGTGATGATGATAAATTGATGTGACGAAAGAAACCTCGTTCATTGATTATTGTTTGAATACGATTATTTAAATTGGTAAATGCCCAAAGAATATCGATTGAAGATAAATAATTAAACAGATCAATAAAGAATAGATCCGGTAAATCGTCGAATTGTGTAATTAATGCCATCGAATGAGGAAGAAAACAAAAATGATTGTATCTTTTATAGCTGTATTCAACAATGCGCATCACCGAAAAATATTTCCATTGTTGTTTATATTGACCTCGAGCAATGAACAAGAATCTTTTGTTCAATGTGTTCGCTATCATGGATAATATAGCGAGATGAGAGCGAAGAATTGATCATTCTGATTCATAGGGCAATGTATTAGCGGTGTAACTAAAATATTTTTCTCTTTTCTCTTGCTTTCTCCGTTATATTCGATGAGCAATTGTTCGTCAAATACAGTGGCGAACATGCAAGAGAAAAATATCCTAGACTATGTCATTGCAATGTATGATCATTTTTCAAAACAGAACTACTTTTACTTATTCTAAAAATAAATCAATAGTTAATGGAAAGATATTGACTTTGTCACAATTGTTTGAAACATGTGATTCTTATTTTCCCGCCATAGTGTTCATTCTCATTGTCAAATCTATATTACTATTGTTCAGTGTCTGTCTGTGCCGGGTCAAAGGTTAAAGGTCACATCAGGCTATAAGGGGAAGATCTCCAGGGACTACTTATGGGGTACTTAAGGTTCCCAAGGGCTTCTATGAGAGTACCCATAGGTCCTCAAGGGTTATTCTATGGGGGCATCCATAGGTCCTCAAGGGTTATGCTATGAGGGTACCCGTAGGTCCCGGAGGGCTATCCTATGGGGAGTACCCATAGGTCCTCAAGGGCTATCCTATGAGGGTATCCGTAGGTCCTCAAGGGCTATTATATTGTGATACGCATAGGCCCTGAAGGGAGTAAAGCAATAGGGAGATAAGGCTACAAGGAATATAAGGCCGAAGGCTGCATGGACTATAAAAATATGTGCGATATGAGAGCATTAGGTCGTAGGGCAACCTATCTATATACATAATATCGAGTGTCTGTGTGTATTTTACCGAATGAAAAGTTAAATGTCTGAGGTCATACATTAAAGAAGAAAACAGCCGTGCAGTATGCACGGGTTCTCGCTAGTAAAATAATATTTCAAACTTGTCTGCTGTTTCGGAATCGGGAAAAAAGTCACTATTATGATCTGTGGACTTGAGTCTCCATCTGAAGAATCAATAAAATAGATATAAAAACTTGATTTTTATTTCAGTATTATGTATTCTCTAGATACATGCCTGGAGAAAGACTATATCTATAAAGATAGAGACATAGTGGCTAGAAACTACTTACAATGAATAGACAGTCATTAACTGGTGACAACTACTTGTTTGAGATGAAATCAAACATAAAGAGAAAAAGAGTTCATATAAATTAAATAAAATCGTTCATGAGTTTAATGACATATAAAGTGAAAGATATTTTTATAATACATCTCAATATTCATATGATCTTATTTTCTTTTCTCTCTACAATCATTAGTGTATTATGTTCAGATTTATCAAATTCCTTTTTTCAATAAGCAAATATCGATCTAATATTCATTTGAAAAGAAAAGAATTGTAAATGTTTTTTTGGATAGATTTTTATAGAGACAAATTGAATACTGATGCATTTCAGCATTGTCAATAGGGAGATAAAAAGAGACATAAGATTATATGTGATTGAATTTTGTTGTGCATAATATTTGACAATTTCTAATTAGTTTTCTTCAAAAAGAATAGTATTGAAAAATAAAAAGAAAGTAGGTAAAATAATTGGTTTGCTAGAAAACACAGAAAATGAAAATTTCCTTTTGTTATTAACGATAAGAAATATATTCGATCATGTGTAATATGACAATATGATGTTGAAGATCAAGCACCAAGAGAAAGATGAATTATTAGAAATTCCAACTGAACATTTTCATCTTGGGGTGTGGGTGAAGAGAGGACAATACCAACGCCCACACCCACCCACACCCACACTTTGCCAAAAGTCAGGTGTGTAGCCAAGAAGTTTTCAACAGGAATGTACTCTAGTAAAAAACAATGTTTTTTGATCACTTCGTTTTCATGAAATACATAATACATATTAAGTTTTTTTATTTTTTACTGATCAGATACTTCTTTATTCATAATACACAGTAAGAAGTGAAGAAAAACGAAACAAATATAAGAAACCAAATCTTTTTTAATTCAAACGCAGAGAATAGCAGTTTTATTATGATTAATAACCACGATTTCTAAACCAAACACAAAACCCATAGTTTTAATGAAAAATTCAATAAAATATCAACCCAAGTTTTTGATGTACATCAGAATGTTTAAGTAATTCAGGCGAACAATTTGATATAGGTGAGTCAAGTATAATTTCTTTTAATTCATAAAATACAATGAAATTGATTTGCTTGCATGATCTACATGACCACTATTATGCGTATAATCTGAATCTATTTACTTTTTTAATGAAATTGTTTTGTTTTAGCCATAGCATTATTGACTACAAGTGAAAAATCTTTTATATCAACACGACGATTAGCAACATTTGCTGCAATAAGAATATTATTTTTTTGATCTAGTTTTAATTGAGTTAGACTGAAATCTCGACTTTCTTGATGTTTTCACCCTAAAAGAAATAAAAAAAAAACAAAAACAATAAGCTGTTCAACACATTCAGTTGGTTTGCTAATTGAATTAATATAAATAAATGCTGAACAATGAGGACGACAAAGATACACATGTGTTATACGGTCAATAACTGGTTTAATTGTTACTTGAAACAGCACTATTTGATTTAATTATACTAATACAACATAAGTTAAGTGAAAACTCTCTAGTTAGTTTTTGTTATTTTCCAAGGATAATCAATCGCCAGAGAAATGAGACTATGCTCAAAGAATACAAATTTGTACTATTTAAAATACTCACAAACGTATTTCGAAAAGGGTTTTGAAATTTTTTAGAGGAGTCCAAGTATTGTAGAAGTAGATGTGGACGTATTGATCATTCGATATCCATATCTATACTCACACCTAATGTCCATTTCAGAGTTAAATGACCGTAGGCATTTTCTGAATAACTCTTGATAGGAACGAGATAGAGATCTGCGGATTTGACTATTGAATAGAGCAGATAAAGACACATCGAATTATATATAGAAAGACTTTTCTAGCTACTTTCCTATAGATTTTACATAAAACTTCAAGACAAACAGCATGCTTTTCATGGTCATGATATTAATTTGTTGATTTTCAGGACTGCGCTCGAATCGCCAAAAGGAGGAGCTACAAAACTATAACAAGACTCTGTTCCTAACTACTACCAGTATGATATGCAAACCATCGGAACACAATTTACCACTTCATTTTTTTCAACAAAATAATCGAAAAACATTTCACTAAACGTTTAAAAAAGTAGTTAGAAAAATCTTTCTATATGTAATTCGATGCGTCTTCATCTACTCTTTCCAACGATGAAAGTCGCAGATCTATATCTCGTTCGTATCAAAAGTTATTCAAAAAATGCCCACGGCTATTTAACTCTGAAATGGACATTAGTACAACTGACACATCCTGAAATTTTCATGCGATATAAATGTACTAGATCCAAAGTTGGTTTTTGAGAAGGAAAATCTTAAACAAGAAATAGTATGCTACCTATTAGTAAAGTCACCAAGATAGACGAAAAGATTAAACTCTTATTTTGAGATGTTATTATCATCATGTTGTATTAAATGTTTTTCTTTTCTTTCATTTTCACGAAGACATTTAGGTAGACACCATAGAAAGCGCTGACATCATGTATTTTCACTATCCTATTGGTCATGAATATGATGACCAATGATTAATGAATGAATCAAACGAAAAAAATATTTTGTCGTATATTTTAGAACTTTTCTATTTATTTAATTTAGAAAACAAATTTTATTCTAATGGAAATAGTTATATTGAAAAACAATCGGAGAACACTTCATAATGCCTATGAACACGATTGAATTCATATTACATATATGATTACAACTATTATATGCTTTACAATTACAGTTTATCAACGTTTTGTTTTTTTATGGATTTTTATTGACATAAGTTTTCTATCAAAATAATAAATTATCAGAATCATTTTGTAGCATAATACTTGTACCTGTGATTAATTTTTGTCTACATAGTTTTACGTATAGTTTTGTTTTATTTATTTTTTAATTGGAAAATATTATCGACTTTCCATTCAGGAAAAGTTTATAGCCTTGTTGTTCCATCAGTAACTTTTTAAATTGTTAATGTTTTCTTTCTTTCAGATGGATGATTTATCAAAACAAACATATTGGAATAAACGATTTTTAACAGAAGATTCATTTGAATGGTTTGGTGATTGTTCACGTCTCTATCCTGTATTAGATTTTTATTTAAAATCTTCACCTTCAATTATTTTACTTCATCTTGGTTGTGGTTCATCATCACTTGCTGAAGAAATGTATAATCGTCATTATTGTCATTTAATTATTAATGTTGATTATTCATTTGGTATTCTTGATAAACGACGATCAATGAAAAAAACAGAATATTTAATTGATTGGCTTGCTTTAGATATTCGAACAATACCTTTACATTCAAATTATTTTGATACAATTATTGAAAAAGGTACATTAGATGTATTTTTTATTGGACATGAACATCGTCTATGGAATCCATCAGAAGAATTAAAAGAAAAAATTGATTTAATATTAACACAAATTAGTCAATGTTTACGATCTGATTCTGGTCGATTTATTTCAATCTCATTTCAACAACCTCATTTTCGTCGACCATTTTTAGCTAAAAAAAAATATCAATGGTCAATTCAAGTACATTCCGTTTCAGATGGAAATGAATCTATGGAATATTTTGTTTATGTGATGACTAAAGGTGAACAAATGAATGAAGAAGATCAATTATTAGAAGAAGGAAAATCTACAAAATGGAATTGGATTAATAAAAAAGAATGTTTACCACAACAAACGATAAATTATGTCAACGAGCAGAATGATCAGTATTTGTTGAATATAGACATCGAAGATAATGAATAAACAAGGTTATTGATGAAGTATATTTAGTTGTTTTTTC